ATTTCAGGGATGGGACCAGAGACTTAGGAAAGGCTTAAAAATGAGAGAAACATGTCAAAAGCACACAGGAGCCAACTTAAAGGATCCCCCAATGGCTAAATCTGGGACAACTTGAGCAACAAAATAAGTAATGGATGTAATAAATTATAACCCATAAAATGAAATAAGAATTCATGAGCACATACAGCTATAAACGAATGAATGAATGAGGGAGAATTTAAAGTCTTCATTACAGTCAAAGTCTAACTAATAAAGTCTAATAAATGTAGAAGAAATGGTGGAATCAGAAAATCACTATTTGGCAAACACCCACAGTAATAATTGTGTGAAGCATGAATCATCAGTGGGTGTTAAAATTAGTGGGTAAAAGCTTGATGAAAAACAGGATGTTTGCTTAGATACTTTGACTATCTCCTCACAATTCAGTTCATCACAAAGGTAAAAATAGAACTTGACAGTGGCAACACCACCTAACCAAGTGATGAGGATTAACACCATCATCAATAAGACATTTAGACATAATATAACCCGTTATGATGGACTGAGAAGGATACATTGCACTGCTTCCGTGGTTTTCTTGCCCAATATGCATAGCCTAAATGTAAACATGAGAGAACATCGGAAAAGCCCAATTGAAGGATATCCTACAAAATAACTGGCCAGTCCTCTTCAAAAGTATCAAGGTCATGAAAGACGGAAGGACTGAGGAACTGTAACAGATGAGAAGATACTAAGGAGGCATGGCAACTAATTGTAACATGGGATTCTAGAACAGAAAAAGGACATTAGGGGAAAATCTGGTGAAATCTGAATAAATTTGAAGGTGAAATTTGAATAGATTAACAGTATTGTATCAATGTTAATTTCTTAGTTTTGATAATTGTACTATGATTATGTACAACGGTAACATTTGGGGAAGCTGGGTGAAGGGTATATGAGAATTCTTTGTATTAGTTTTGTAACTTTTTTAAAAAAAAATTGATTTCAGGGAGGAAGGGAGAGGGATAGAAACATCAAAGATGAGAGAGAATCATTGATCAGCTGCCTCCTGCATGCCCCCTACTGGGGATTGAGCCTGCAACCCGGGCATGCGCCCCTAACTGGAATCGAACCCAGGGCCCTTCAGTCCACAGGCCGATGCTCTATCCACTGAGCCAAACCAGGTAGGGCATAGTTTTGTAACTTTTTATAAGTCTGATATCATTACAAAACAAAAGGTTTTTTAAATTTTAAAAATTAAAAGCACATATTGCTGTGTCACTCAAGTAGGAAAGAGAAAATATACAAGATAACACCCTTAGATATATTACAAATACATGCAAACAAAATGTTTTGCCAGAACACATACAAAGGTTATATCTTTTAAAATTAGCTTGATTCCCTGAGAATGGCAAATGGGAAAAAACGGAATCAACCAACTAGTCAAGTCATCATATGAAGAAACCTAAATTGGACCCTAGAAGTTTTTTCTGGAGGAAGTGAGATTAGATTTGAACTTTGCAGGAGAGTGGAGGGACTTGGAGGAATTAAGGGTGGTCTAACGAGGTAATAATGGCAAAATGTGGGAGAGAGCTAGTGGGGCTTGGAGGTAGTGCCAAGAGTCAGAAGGAACTGACTAGTCCAGAGGGTTGGGAGTTGAGGCTGGCTGTAGAGGGATTCAAGATGCCCTCAGGGCCAGTCTCCTCTCAGGCTATTCTATCCCCTCAACTACTGCCAGGGGGCACTGTTGGGATTGAGCCCTTTCCTGCCCTTTACCTGGTTTGGGGGCCTAATTCTCTTCTAAGGACCTCCCTGACCCCTGGACGATGGCATCTGCTGTGTTGTCCCGTAATCAGCTCCAGACAGGAGGGGAGGTAGAAGGCCAGACCTTTCCTCTCGACTAGGCTTAGGGTCAGGCTCTTTTTTCCCCAACTGTAGCATCACCATCTGAGCTGTCCTGCTGTGTGACTGGTGTGGTCACCTGGTCAACCTGTAGTTTGGCCTGGGACAGCCCTGGTAGCCTCCACACAACTTACCACTGCAGATGAAAAGCTGATTCCAAGGGGAGTAAAAAGGGGCCCAGAAGGAGTGGGCACATTGAGGGTACTCAGGAGGGGAGGAGCTACCTACCCAGGGGCTGCAGAACTGCCTGGGTGTAAATCCTGCTTCCATCAATTGCCTGCTCTGTGGTTTTTGGCAAATTACTTAAACTCTTATAGTCTCAGTTCCTGCATCTTTATATTGAAGGATAATAGAATAATAGTACTTACCACAGATGGTTATTACGATAATTAAATGAGATTACATAGTGTCTGGCATAAATTAAGCTCTCAATAAACATTAGCTGCCATTATTATTACACTAGAAGCCCGGTGCACGAATTCGTGCACCAGTGGGGTCCCTTGGCCTGGCCTGTGGGATCGGGCTGAAACTGGCTCTCCGACATCCCCTGAGGGGTCTTGGATTGTGAGAGGGCACAGGCCAGGCTGAGGGACCCCACCGGAGCATAATGGGGGGAAGGGGAGAGAGATGTGGGAGGTTGGCCAGCTGGGAAGAGACCACGGGAGGGCTCCAGGGCGTGTCCAGCCCATCTTGCTCAGTTCAGATGGGCCAGACCCCAGCAGCAAGCTAACCTACCGGTCAGAGCATCTGCCCCTGGTAGTCAGTGCACATCATAGCAACTGGTCAACGAGTTGACTATCTGCCCCCTGGTGGTCAGTGCATGTCATAGTGAGCAGTTGAGTGGCCTTAGCATATCATTAGCACATTATGCTTTGATTGGTTGAACGGCCGACTGGTCGACTGGACACTTAGTATATGAGGCTTTTATTATATAGGACTTCAGGCCCGGTGGGGTCCCTCAGTGTGGTGATTGAGCCAAAACTGGCTCTCCGACATCCCCCGAGAGGTCCTGGATTGCAAGAGGGCGGTTCTCAGGTGACGCATCCCAGAATCAGGCTCCCTCCTCTCTGGTTCCGGGTGCATCATCCGAGAACTACAGCTGCCAAATCACTGCAGCTCAGCAGCTCCTGCATTGAGCGTCTGCCCCCTGGTGGTCATTGCACATCATAGCTACGGGTCAGATGGTAGGACGGTCACTTAGGCTTTTATATATATAGATGTTCTCAGTCCTGGTTCTTGGGCTCCCAGAGCTGGAGCAAAACTACCTATAAGCTCAGAGGAGATAAGTAGAGCCTGGCAGTGGCTCTGGCTCTGATTTGGAGGAGGTATGTGGGTACTGCAAGGGTGACGGAAAGATAGTAAACCTTTAATTTGTATAACTAAATAAACTATTTTCACATTTTAATGACACACATGAGCATCTTCTGTGAATGTACATTTTCGCTTAAGATTTTATGCTGAAAATGGCTACATACAATTCCTGATCAGGACTTTTCATTAATGATCTCTTCAAAATCTTGATTGTGGCTTTTAAAGAGAAATGCTTTTTTTTTTCTCAAGTAGGTGGTGGTAAAAGGATAAGGATAATTTGTTTTTTTCCCCATTACCCAGAATTTCTATTTCATTCTTAAAATCATTTAAATCCAGTTGAACAATTTAAGTTTTTAGATGGCTATTCTTTTCCTCGGGATATACACAGATGATACTCTAATCCTTTAATCCAAATTATACCACCAACATTATAGAGAAGACAAGCAACAGTGAAAACTGATCAAATCAAAGCTGGTCTTCGAAAAGACTAATAAGGGAGACAGACTTCTGACCATTTAAAACCCAACACACAGAATGAAAAGGTAGAATAACTATAGACAAACTAAATTTTTTAAAAAGAACAAGTGAATCTTTTTTAAAAACTTTTTTTAATGTTGACATTAGAGGTGTTTCCCCGTTTTCCCCCCTTTGACCACTTCCACCCTCCCTCCCTTGGCCTTCACCAAACTATTGTCCATGTCCATGAGATATGCATATATGATCTTTTTAAACCATAGAGGCAATTTCCAAGACACAATCCAACATAGGACTGTACTTCTTTTTGAGGTATGAGGGTTTGGTCTTTTCCTCTTGTAGGGATACCAGTTTAGTCTCCTGCTTTCTCTTTTTTAAAAAATTAAATTTATTGGGGTGACAATGGTTAATAGACTATATTAGTTTCAAGTGTACAATATTATAATACATCATCTGTATATTGCACTGTGTGCTCATCACCCAAAGTTTAGTCTTTTTCTGTCACCATATATTTGACCCCCCCCCCTTCCTCTCTGGGAACCTCTCTATTGGTTTTCAAGTTTTATTGTGAAATGGGCTGATAAGCCAAGGGCTGCATTTGAAATCCTTCAGGAATGCTGGACAGCAGAACACAGATGAAACTTTGGAGAAATGACCACTCAGAGGGGCCTTCAAAATCCTCCACCTGGGAAAACCCCCTGTAGCAACCATTTACTTGATTATAATACTCTTTGCAGTATTCATGTGATTTGGTTTTATACGGATTGATTTTGGACCAATCAGATTTAATAAGGTTCATCTTCTTTATCACATTCAATATTCTGGTGCAGAAGGTAGAGGAAACTGTACTCCATGGTCACATAATTATCTTTGATAAGTAGAATGTATATGTTATTTATTTACTAGAGGCCAAATGCACGAAATCCATGCATGGGGGGAGGGTTGTTCCCTTAGCCCAGCTTGTGCCCTCTTGCAATCTGGGGCCCCTCGGGGGATGTCTGATTGGGCCTAAACTGGCAGTTGGACATCACTCTCACAAACCATGACCCTTGCTCCTAACTACCCACCTGCTTGCCCCTTACCGCCCACCTGCTCACTTCTTACCACTTGGCTTGCCGCTCCTTACTGCCCACCTGCTCACTCCTTACCACTTGGCTCACCAATCCTTAGCACTGCTGTGGAGGCAGGAGAAGCTCCCACCATTGCATTCACCAGCTGTGAGCCCCACTTCTGGCTGAGCAGTGCTCCTGCTGTGGGAACGCACTGACCACAAGGGGCAGCTTCTATGTTGAGCATCTGCCCCCTGGTAGTCAGTGAGTGTCATAGTGACCCGCTGTTCTGGTTGTTCCAATCATTCTGCCATAATGGTCGCTGGGCTTTTATATATATAAATTCGTGCATCTCATTTTCTCGTTCTCCACTCCCATTTCCAACCCTCTCCCTCTATAGGCAGGTATTCTGATGTGTTTATTGTGATTATCTTTGATTCTATGTGTTCAGTCAGTTGTACGTATTATTTGGTTTGAAAACTGTGTTTCTGTTAAAATTTTAAATGCACTGAACATATGGAACAGTTTCTAAAACTTGTACAGTTTAAGGAAGAATAATAAAATTCCCATCTACCTGCCAACCATGCTAAGAACTAGAACATATTTTAGAACCCTCCTGTTTCCCTTCACATACCTCTTCCCCTGCCCCAGAGGAAACCATTATCCTGACCTTGATGTTCTCTCTCTCTCTCTCTCTCTCTCTTTTTTGCTTTTCTTGAAAGTTTTGCTTCCTGTGTAAGTATCCCTAAACAATATATGGTTTTGTTTTGAAAACCTGAGTGGCGAGCACACACCCCACTGGCTACTGAAGTTACTCCTGGGTGAAGCTGCCCAGGAGAGGAGGAGCTGAACAGAACCTCTCAGTCACTGTCTGGCTTCAGCTTCCTGAAGGGGTTACAAGAGCCCCTTCTGGGGAAGTCAGTGGGTGAGGTCACACGGCAGTCCAGGGAACTAAACACGTGGCTCCCCTCAGTCAGTGCACCAGCGGGGTTGTTGTGTGGACCAGAATGAATTTCCTGATAACAACATGGGTTGACGGAGTGGGCCCATCTATCTTCTTCTAATCTCCCCACAATCCCCTTTGCCCCCCAAGAGTAGGTGACAGCAGATCACTTCTGTGGGGTGGAATGCCTGTCCGCTCCGGAGCTGGGCTGCTGCTGTGCTTGGAGGGAGGGCTTGCAGGAGCTTTGGCAGCACATGGTCAAGGTTAGCTAAGTACAGGTACTGTGAGTCAGGCTCACCTGGGCATTCTGTCCTCGGGTTAACAGACGACAGGTGGTGTTGTTTTCTCCTTAGCGAAGAGCAGATACTAAAGGATGAATGTCATGGAGTGGGTGACCTAAGACAAGGGAATATACACTTTATTTTTTCTTTCACCCTTTCTTGTTTATTTCGTATTATCCACATTCCCATCCCTCCCCAAGCCCTGCCATATAGGTATGTCTTTGAATGGGTTTATTCCACAAATATTTATTGAGCATCTACTAAATATTACTATGCACTGTTCTTGGCACTGGGGATACAACAGTGAACAAAACAAAAGGCCCTGCTTTGTGGAGCTTACAGTCTATTGGGGAGAGACAGACACTAAACACAATAAATAAATATGAAATATTTCAGGTGGTGATCGGTGTTTTGTAGAAAAACATAAGACAAAAAAAAAGTAAGATAAGGGCATAGACCGTGCTGGTGAATGAGACCAATTTAGATATGCTGGTCAGGGAATGCTTCTCTAAGGAGGTGACATTTGATAATACTGGATGTGGGTGGGCAAGTCATCAGATTATCTGGGTAGAAGAGTGTTCCAGGCAGTGAGAACAAGTACAAAGCCAATGAAGAGGGCGGGTACTTGTCAGTTTGAGTAACAGCAAGTAGGCCAGTGTGGCTGGAGAAGAGTGAGTGATGGAGAGAATGACAGGAAATGAAGTCAGAGAGGGGTTGAGGTCCAGAATGTGTAGAGACTTTTGGGACATGGTGAGGGCTATGGCTTTTATTCTGAGGAGCTGGGAGCCGTGGGAGAGTTTTGAGCAGAGGAGGGACATCATCTGGTAGGGATTTTTAAAAAGAATTTCAGATAAGAATTAGTAATAGGTATTACAACACCAGGCAAAGAAAAAAACAGACAACTACTAAGAAAACAAAAAGGTATACAACAAAGGATATATAATCAGAGTATACTCTGTGGTTTAGATATGAACAATATTTACAGTGTCATACTTATGCAAACAGTGATCATTGGTTGAACAAAAATTGTATAAAATCTTTAAAGAAACAGAAGATGCAACCACAAAGATGAGCAAGCAACAAGAGATTATTAGGGTTGAATTAGAAAGTGAAATATATGGAGCTTATACAAATGAAAAATGCAACTGTTGAAACAAAAAAACTCAGTGGACAGATGAAAGAACAGATCAGACATAGCTGAAGAGTTAATTGGTAAAAATCTGGAGAAATTGCCCAGAATGAAGTGCAGGAAGACAAGGAGACAGAAAACATAAAAAAGATGTTGAGATATGGAAGATATAATGAAGAGGTAAAAAATATGACTAACTGGATTCTGAGAAAGAAAATATATAAATAATGGGAAAGGGCAACATTTGAAGACATAATGGCTGAGAATTTTCTAGAAATTATGAAAAAAAAATCCAGAGGCATAAAGCAAGTGCATTTCTAAAGTAGAATAAATGAAAAAGAAATACATGCCTAAACATTTTAGAATGACACTGAAGAGCCCCCGGTACATCTCCCTCTGAGAGAGAGAGAGAGAGAGAGAGAGAGAGAGAGAGAGAGATCTTAAAGGTAGCCAGAATAAAAGAAAACAAAAACACCTACAAAAACAGTAATTAGACTGGTAGCAGACTTCTAAATACCTATAGCACTGTCATTTAAGATGAGGATAAAATTACATTTACATATAACAAAGACTGGGACAATTTAACACCAAGAGACCTGTACTAAAAGAGCATCTAAACACTGTATTCATAATGAAAGAAAATGATCCCAGAATGATGGTCTGAGATGCAAGAATGTATGCATGAAAATCCAAAAACTATGCATATAAAATTATACTAATGATAATGTAGAATTTATGGGGTTAGAAAAAAGGAACAAACTCACAATAGCATGTGGTCAAGAAAGAAATGCCTACAGTTGAAGGTTCCTGTGTTCTTGAAGATGGAGGTTAAAATACTGTCTAACTTTAGACCTTATAAATTAAACATTCGTGGTAAAATGTCAAGGATAACCACAAAAAGAATAGAAAAAATGTTAATTCCAAACAGTAGGGAGGAAAATATTGAATAAGAAAGCAAACACTACAAATCTTAAAGCTGAAAAAGCAAGCGAAAGAAAGAAAGAAAGAAAGAAAGAAAGAAAGAAAGAAAATGAAGCATAGAAAAGATGTTGGTAGGAAATAGAAATAAAAAAGTATAATGGTAGAAACAAGCCCAAATATATCACAGTAAATGTAAACAGATTAAACTTGCCTGTTAAAAAAACAGAGATCACCAGATTACCTTTTTTAAAAAAAGGTCCAGCTATATGCCATTCCCAAGAGGTATAATTGAAGCATAAGAGCATGAAAATGTTGTAAAGTAAAAGGTTGGAAAATTATATGCCACATAAATCCTAACAAGAAGAAAAGCTTGTGATGTTATATTAATATAAGGTAAAATAGACTTCAAGGAAAAATGCATTATCAAGAATAGAGAGGGTCATTACATATTTATCAGGAATATATAACAATTCTTATTTTGAATAGTCCTAATAAAATATTCTCAAAATATATAAAATTTTAAAAAAGAACTACAAGGAGAAATAGACAAATCCACCATCATAGTTGAATATTAATACACCTCTTACAATTACTGCTATATAGTGACACCAAAAAATCAGTATAGATCTAGAAAATTTGAACAATACAACCAACAAGCTTGATAATAGACATATGTAGAACTCTGTAATCAACAATTAGAGAACATACATTCTTATAAAGCACACAGGAAACATTAAAAAATATTGATCACGTACTAAGCCATAATCAAGTCTCAATAAAATTCAGAATTGTTATCACACAGACAACATCCTCTGACCATAATGCAATTAAGATAGATTTCAATAACAAAGAGATAAAATTAAAAATCACCAAACACTGAGAAATTTAAAAACACACTTCTATATAACTCACAGGTCAAAGAAGTAACCATGATGAAAATGTTAAAGTACTCGGAACCGAACAATAATGAAATAGGACATGTCTGAACTTATAAAAAAGCAGTATTTAGAGGGCAATTTATATCCTTAAATGCACAAATCAAAAAACAAGGAAGGCTGAAGATTAATGAGCTCAGTATTCAATATAAGAAATTAGAAAAAGAACAACAGAATAAATCCAAAAAATGTGGAAGGAAGGAGATCAAAAAAGATAAGAGCGGAAATTAAAGAAATAGAAAACAAAGACATAATAGAGAGAAGCAACAAAGCCAAAAGTTGGTTCTTTGAAAAGACTAATAAAATAGACAAACCTCTGGAGAGATTGATCATGAAAAAAAGTGAGAAGGCACAAATAACCAATAACAGCAATGAAAAAGGAGACATAACTACAGATTATGTACAGCAGAGAATCAAAAATAAGGGAAGTTGATGCCAATAAATTCGAGAATGCAGGCAAAATAGACCAATTCCTAGAAAACTTTAACGTACCAAAACTGACTCAAGAAGAAAAAGAAATCCTGAATAGTCCTCTATTAAAGGAATTGAAGCAGCAGTTAAAACTCTTTCTACCAAAAATAAATGAACGAATGAATAAATAAATAAACAAACAAATAGCAGAAGGCAGAATTTTCTAGTTGATATGTAGATTATAGGTAAGTAAAGAGATACTGATTCCCTCAGCCCTAATGGTGTCCGTGTAGAACCTAAGGCAGTGGAGACCCTAGGCAGGCTGCCTCTCTCTATGGGCAGCCTCCTGTGGAGATCCTTAGAGGGTGACCCTTAATGAAATGTGGTCTGACAAATCCCTCTCCCGTACCTGCAGGAGGTGAGCACGAATGAGTAACATCCAGCACTCAGTTACTGCTCTGTGGTAAGTGTGTTAAGCAGAGCCGAGCTCAATCACATGGACAGCCTCTTCAGTAGACAGTTTCTGTAGTCTTCTGCTCACTGAGGACAAGGGATCTGTGGAGCTGCTGGAGGAGTCTGTGTTCCAGTTGCCAAGAAACACCATACACAGCCAAGTTGTGACTAGTTGGGGTGGGGTTGGGTGCAGGAAGGCCAAGCAGGGGCTTCTAGAGAGTGTAGCTCCTGGTAGAAGCCCTGAAACTCTGTCTTCATGAATATCAGATACTTTTATTCATTTGAAGCTGATGAGCCCTTTTAATGGTGTCCAAGCTAGCTGCGGGGCTAACAATGATGGATGTTCTGCAAATAAGAGCTTCATCATTATTTTGAAATAATTTATATGAAAGAGTTCAATTGTTTTGAAATCTAATCACATTATCACAAGAAATTTTAACAATATATTCTTCAATAAAACAAAAAGAAAAGCTGTCAGATACCATTTCAGTTGTTAAACATTTTTGAAGACTTTAAAAATTGGTTTTAAATACTTTATCAGCTACTTGTACATAAATTTTTCTTGATCGTGACTACTGAAAATTTGAAAGAACACATCATTAAAAAGTCTTGATCAGAATTTGGGTGTATCCATTTCAAGCATAAACCTAATATAAAAATAAACATGTTATTCAAGCAGTTTTCAAATTTCTCATTTAAAAATCTGAAAAGACTCCCAGTCAAGGCACATACCTGGGTTGTGGGTTCAATCCCGTGTGGGGGGCGACCGATCAATGTTTCTCTAGAACATCAATGTTTTTTTTCCTCTCTCTCCCTTCCTTTCTCTAAACATGTCCTTAGGTGAGATCAAAAAATAAATAAATAATGAAAACAAGAACTTAAAAAAAAAGTTGGCAGAGAACTCAGGGTCCACATACAGGGTTGGGCAAAAGTAGGTTTAGAATTTTAAGTACGTAAAAGTTTACTTGTGTATTATTACATTATTTTCCATATGAACAACTGTGACCTGCTCTTGCCACACCCTGTAATACAGGGAATACAGAATTCACAAGTAAAGGGCAACAAGAAAAATAACAACAACAACCACACATGCACAACCCAGAACAGCAACAAACTTTGAGGGTGGAAGAGTCTGATACCAGAGTTGTTAGAGTATCTAAAATGACCATTTTTTTACAAAAAAAAACCCACCCCAACTACTGTGAGACATGCAAAGAAACAGTAAATTATGTTACATATACGGGGAAAATAGCAGCCAAAAGAACATGTCCCCAAGGGTGCTAATATTTGGGACTTAATAGACAAAGACTTTAAATTAATTATTATAAACATTTTCAAACAACTAAAGGAACCCATATCTATAGAATTAAAGGAAAGTATGAGAACAATGTCTTATAAAATAGAGAATGTCAATAGAGATAAAAATCATAAAAAAGAATCAAATAGAAAATCTGGAGTGAAAAGTATTACAAATGGAATGAAAAATACATTTTGAGGGGTTCAACAACAGATAAGAGCTGGCAGAAGAGAAGGGTGAAGTTGATGATAGGTAAATAGAGATTATCCATTATGAAAAGCAGAAAGAAAAAAGAATGAAGAGAAAGAAACAAAGCCTCACAGACCTGTGAGACTACATCAGTGTACTAACGTAAGTATAACAGAAATCTCAGAAGGACAAGAGGAAGACAAAGGGGCCAAAACATCACAAATTTGATGTAAAATATTAATCTATACATTCAACAACCTCAAGCAGAATAACCTCAAAGAGATCCATACCTAGATACGTAGTGAAACTGGTCAAAATCAAAGACAAAAAGAAAATCTCAAATGCAGCAACAGGAAAATGACTTATTGTGTATAAGGGATTCTCAATAACATTAGTAGCTGATTTCTCATCAGAAACCAGAGGACAGAAGACTGTGTCACAGCATTTTCAAAATGTTGAAAGAAAAAGACTGTCAAAGGAGAATTCCACATCTAACTAAACTGTCCTTCAAAGATGAAAGAGAAGTTAAGATAAACAAAACTGAAAGAATTCGTTGCTAGCTTCAGGCTGAAATTAGAGGACACTAGATGGTAACTTGAAGGTACCTACATGGGTATAAAAAAAATAATTTTTGTAACACTTTATTTTCCTATCTGTTATAAAAGATTGCATAAAGCAAAAATAATAAAATTTGGTGATGGGCTTATCCTATATAATAAAAAGGCTAATATGCAAATCGACCGAATGGAGGAATGACCGGTCGATATGAAGTGCACTGACCACCAGAGGGCAGATGCTCAACGCAGGAGCTTCCCCCTGGTGGTCAGTGCACTCCCACAGGGGAAGCACCGCTCAGCCAGAAGCCGGGCTCACGGCTGATGAGCACAGTGGTGGTGGCGGGAGCCTCTCCTGCCTCGACGGCAGCACTAAGGAGCAGTGAGCCCAGCGGTAAGGAACAGCGAGCAGGTGGGTGGTAAGGAGCAAGGGGTCCCGGACTGCAAGAGGGATGTCCAACTGCCAGCTTAGGCCCGCTCCCCTGGAGAGCAGGCCTAAACCATCAGTCAGACATTCCCCAAGGGCTCTGGACTACAAGAGGACCGGGCTGAGGGACCCTCCCGAAGTGCATGAATTTCGTGCACCAGGCCTCTAGTAATGTATAAAGAAGAGTAATTTGCATGATAATACTACAAAGGAGGGGAGAGGAAACAGGTATACTGGAGCAAAGGTTTTTACACACTATTGAAAGTTAAGTTAGAATTAATCCAAAGTAGAATGTTTCTAATTAAGATGTTAATTGTAATCCCCAGAGTAACCACTAAGAAATTAACTCAAAAAATATATACTTGATAAGGAAATTAAAAAGTTAAAGTAGAAAATATCTACTTACCAAAAAGAAGAGAGGAATTAAAGAACAATGGAACCGAAGACATAAGACGTACGCAAAGCAAATATCAATCCTTCACAAACTCATCCAAAAAACAGAAAACACTTCCCAATTCATTTTATGCAGCCAGTACTACACTAACACCAAAACCAAAGACATCACAAGAAAACTACAGACCAATATCCCTTATGAATATACAGTAGATGTAAAAATCCTCAGGAAAATACTAGCAAACCAAGTCCAGCAACATAGAAAAAGTATTCTCTAACATGATGAATTAGGATCTATTACAGAAATGCAAGGTTAGCTTATCATCTGAAAAGTAATCAATGTAATACACCATATTAATAGAATAAAGCATATACTCCACACGATCATCTCAATAGATGCAGAAAAGGCATTTGACAAAGCCCATTCATGGCAAAAGCACTCAGAGAACTAGGAGTAGAAGGGAACTTCTTCAACTTGGTAAAAGGTAAAACCCACAGCTAACATCATACTTAATAGAGAAAGACTCAATACTTTACCCCTAAGATCAGGAACAAGATAAGGATACTTGCTGTCATTACTTCCAGTCAGCACTGTACTAGAAAGTCTAGCCAGGGCTATTAATCAAGAAAAAAAAAAGCATCCACATTCTGGCCAGGTAGTTCAGTTAGTTATAGCATCATCCAGATAGGCCAAGGTTGCAGGTTCAATCCCCAGTCAGGGCACATGCAAGAATCAACCAATGAATGCATAAATAAGTAGAACAACAAATCAATATCTCTCTCTCTCTCTCTCTCTCTCTCCCTCTGTCCCTCCCTCTTTCCCTCTCTCTCTTTCTCTCTCCCCCTTCCTCACTCTCTACAATCAATAAATAGCCCTACCCGGTTTGGCTCAGTGGATAGAGCGGTGGCCTGGGGATTGAAGGGTCCCAGGTTCGATTTTGGTCAAGGGCACACACCTTGGTTAGGGGCTTGATCCCCAGGAGGGGGCATGCAGGAGGCAGCCGATCAATGATTCTCATCATTGATGTTTCTATCTCTCTCTCCCTCTCCCTTCCTCTCTGAAATCAATAAAAATATATTACAAAAATAAAATCAATCAATAAAATTTTTTAAAGCATCCAGATTGGAAAGAAAATGTAAAACTATATTTGTAGATCACATAATCTAATATACAGTAAATCCTCAGGAATCTACTAAGAAACTATTTGAACTAATAAACAAGTTCAGCAATGTGGCAGAATAGAAGATCAATAAATAAAAATCAATTGTATTTCTACACACTAGCAATGAATAATCAGCAAGTGAAATTAAGAAAATAATCCCATTTATAATAGCAGCAAAAATAAAATTCTTAGGCATAAATTTAACAAAAGTGAAAAACTTATATACTGAAAACACTTCCAAAAGAAATTAAAGACAATCTAAATGGAAAGACTTCTCATGTTCACAAACAGGAAGACACAATATTGTTAAATGGTAATAATTCCTAATTGATATATAGATTCAACACAATCCCTATAAAAATTCTAGCTGATTTTCTGCAGAAACATGGCAAACTGATCCTAAAATCCATATAGAAATGCAAGGGACTTAGAAGAGCCAAAACAATCTTGAAAAAGAACAAAGGTTGAAGATTCCAATTCCTGTTTTCAAAACTTACTATATGCAACTATAGTAATCAACACAGTGTAGTCTGGCATAATGACAGACATAGATCAATAGATTAGAATTCAGAGTCCAGAAATGAAACTTTAAATTTATTATTTATGGTCAATTGATTTTTCACAAGGTTGCCAAGACAATTCAAGGGGGCGGACAGAATACTCTTTTCAACAAAAGGTACTGGGACAACTAGATATTCACATGCAGAAGAATAAAATTTGGACCCCTACCTCACCACACACAAAAATTAACTCAAAATGGGTCATCAACCTAAATGCAAGAGCTAAAAATCATATAACTCCTGGAAGAAAGCACAGGAATAAATCTTTGTAACCTTGGGTTATTGACTGGTTTCTTAGATATGACATGAAAAAGTCAAGTGACAAAAGAAAAATAGATATGGCCTGGCCGGAGTGGCTCAGTTGGTTGAGCATAGTCCTGTGCACCAAAAGGTTGTCGGTTCAATTCCTGGTCAGGGCATTGCGGGTTTGATCCCCAGTTGGGGAGCGTAGGGAAGGCAACTGATTGATGTTTCTAACATCGAGGTTTCGCTTTTTCCCTTCCTCTCTCTAATCATTTCCTCGGGTAAGGATTAAAAAAGAAAGAAAAAAAAATATATAAACTTGACTTCAAAATTTAAAATTTTTATGCATCAAAGAACTCCATCAAGAAGGTAAAAAGTCAACCCAAAGAGAAAAGATTTGCATTTTATATATCTGATAAGGGACTTGTATCTAAAATACATAAATAATTCTTACAACCTGTCCGGCTGGAATGGCTTAGTGGTTGAGCACCGACCTATGAACCAGGAGGTCACGGTTCAATTCCCGGTCAGGGCACATGCCCGGGGTTGTGGGCTCTATCCCCAGTGGGGGGAGTGTAGGAGGCAGCCGATCAGTGGTTCTCTCTAATCATTGATGTTTCTATCTCTCTTTCCCTTCCTCTCTGAAATCAATAAAAACATATTTTTTAAAAAAGAATTCTTACAACTCAACAATAAGACCATCCCTTCCACTCTCTCTAAAAATCAATGGAAAAAAATATCGTCAGGTGAGAATTTAAAAAGTAGTTTAAAGAGGAGGAAAAGAAAGTATCTGGGAAGGGCAGTTAGAGTGAGGACACCTACCCCCATCTCCTGACCTCCTGGTAAGAGGGCTATGCGGGAGCTGCTGGAGGAGCAAAGGGCTCAGGGGAAAGCCAGATTTCTATTCAAGCAGTGGTTCTCAGTGGCGGGAGGGATGGACAATCAAGGGGTGTTTGGGGCATTTTTTATTGTCACGATAGTTGGAGATCACTGGTGACATTTAGTGGGCATGGACCAGGGATGCTCAGCTGCACAAGATAGCTCCACACAGCAAAGAATTGAACCACATTCCATACAACTTTAGAATGTCCCACCAGACAACCATGTAGGTAAAAAGCCTGGTTATTCATTCATTTACTTAGTCATTCAACATTTACTGAGGGAGCCTACTATGTGCCAGGCACTGTTTAAGGTAATAGGGATGCATCAGGGCACGTGCACGTGTGTGTGCGCGCGCACACACACACACACACACACACACACACACACACGTCTGCCCTTCTATTTTTTTAAATATATTTTATTGATTTTTTACAGAGAGGAAGGGAGAGAGATAGAGAGTTAGAAATATCGATGAGGGAGAAACATCGATCAGCTGCCTCCTGCACACCTTCTATTGGGGATGTGCCCGCAACCAAGGTACATGCCCTTGACCGGAATTGAACCTGGGACCTTTCAGTCCGCAGGCCGACGCTCTATCCACTGAGCCAAACCGGTCAGGCAATGTCTGCCCTTCTAGAGCTTACAATTGAGTGGGAGAGTCAGACATAATAAAAATGTGAATTTTATATTCTGTAAGAGGGTGAGGAACACTATGAGAAAAACAGATCAGGGTATGTGCTAGTGGAGAGCTGCAATTTTAAAAAGGATGGCCAGGCCCGGCCGATGTGACTCAGGGGTTGAGTGTCGACCCATGAATGAAGACGTCTCGGTTCGATTCCCTGTCAGAGCACATGCCCTGGTTGCAGGCTTGATCCCCGGTATGGGGCATACAGGTGTCAGCCGATCGATGTTTTTCTCTCATTGATATTTCTATCTCTCTCTCCCTAAAATCAATAAAAAGCATATTTTAAAAAAAGATAAAATAAAAAGGATGGTCAGGGTAGGCCTCATTGAGAAAGTGACATCTGAATAGAGACCTGAAGGAAGTGAGGGCATGAGTCGTGTGCAAGAAAAGCATTCTAGGTACAAGTGATGGCCCAGTACAAACCCCTGAGGTGGAAGTGTGCCTAATATGTTCAAGTAGCGTAAAGGAGGCAAGGATGGGTGGCATAGAGAGAGCAAGTGGGGAGAGTGGTAGGATATAAGCCCAGAGAGGTTATGAAGGCCACATCATAGATTCTAATATACTAGTATACTGACTGTTCCAGAAATTCTACAACTACATAAATTGAGGGAAGACTGCACTATGTTTTGTTTAGAACTTTATAAAGAATTGCTCATCATCTAGGAAAACTGCATCATCCTACCTGCGGTTTCTGAGTCACCAATCAACACACATGTAGCTGTCACACTCCCAGGTTTAAGTATCATTATATGCAAGACCATTTCATTATGACTTCTAATAGAATTACATCCCAGGCTTTACTTATTAAAATACATATTGTTTTATTATAAATTGCTCTTCCTTTACTTCTCATTTATATTACAATTAGGACATTATATTGGTTTGGGGGGATTATGTGTGTAGACAGATTCTATTATCTATGCACTTCATTTCAGAATAGTGAAGAGGCATTTCAAAATATACACTGTAAAAATGGAGTGTTGGATCCAACAGGTATGAGAACCTCTAAGGAATGGAAAGAAAACTAAGACTATTCAGAAGCCAGGGTGAGAATGGAGGGGATTTTGCTGATGATTGAAGGTGAGTTCCAGAGGCCTGGTCAAAGGATTTCAGGGTGGGGGCAGAAGGGCTGTATGGGGATGTAACTAGGAGACCCTTGGTCTTCTTGTGTTGACTAACATAAAGGGCCTGATCCACTTTTTTCATTTAAGTTGCTCCTCACCCTGGGGGTCTCTACCTGATTAACACTGAAGGCTGGGGAACAAAGAGGATCTCTCTTCAATGAAGCCAGAAGCAGCCCAAGTCCAGGCTCCTTTTTCCCCCCCACAGAACAGTCTAGAGCCCTTGGCTAAGTTCACAGTTGCTCTTAGGCCAACCTCATTGCTATAAACAATGCACCTTTAAGCTATTTAAGGATGGAAAAGAGACAGGTAGAAAGAGGAAACACAGTAACAGAGAAAGAGAACCAATGAGGGTAGGCTCAGAGACAGACAGGGAGTAAACAAAGCCAAAGACCAAGAGAGAGAATATTCTTCTCAATCACGATCGTCATTTATTGAATATTTCTAGGGGCTGGGTATTGGGCAAAGGGATGCACAAGTATTGTCTTAGGTGGAGATGATTAGACTTCCATTTGACAGATGAGGAAAACTGAGGCCCACATCCATGAAGTAGATGGCTCAAGGTCTCATGGCTAGTTTTAACAGGATTCAGCCTTCTAGGTCTGGGTTGTTTAGTATGTCTCAGAGAGGGAGAGAAATAGAAAGATAGAGACAGACAGAAAGATGGAGATAGAGACAGACTGCGAGAGGGAAAGGCGGGGCAGAAAGAGAGGAGACTTACAGACACGCACGCAGACGATCATGTGAGCTGCAGACCTGCACAGAACGGTTTTCCAAGAGATTTGGGGGGAGGGGGCGGGAAGGCGGGCACGGGCAGTGGGCTACGCAGGGTACTCACCTAGTCGCAGTCTGGGGTCGCAGGGGCCCTCGCCCTCCCTTTGCTACCTGCGGGATCCTCCGCAACCCGCTGACCTAGGGTTGAGAGGCCGCCCAGGTAAAAGCTCACCCAGGCCCCACCCCTCACGCGCTCCCGCCCGGCCTCCTTCCCCCACGCCCCCCTCCCACCCCGGTCGTTACAGCCTCTCACCGGACAACCTCCGCCGTACAAGCCACGTGTGAGCAGATTCCAAGATCCCAGGAACCGAGAGCTGAATTTCGAGAATACCCAGGAGGTGTCCCTCCCGCAGGCTGAAGCGCGAGCAGGATCGCTAGCTCCACCGCTACCTACAGACTCGGGCTCCCATTGGAGGAGTGCCCTCCTGTCGGCCCTGGGATTGGCTGGAGATGGAAACACTTTTTTTTACCCCCTTCCCCCCAGGCCCGGATCCAGGAGGAAGAAAACCCCGCCCCTTCGGGGTCTTTGATTGGCTGATTAGCCAAGCCCACCCTTTAAGAGGATGAAGATGAGGACTCATCATCCTCTTTTAGCGGGTCTATTAGATTAGCTGGAAACACTCAGACTCTAAGCCCAAAGTGGGGCCTGGCGCGAGTCACCCAATGATCAGAGTTCCTGACTTCTTTTTTAAAAATATTTTTTTATTGATTACAGAGAGGGAGAAAGAGATAGAAATAGCAATGATGAGAGAATCATTGATCGGCTGCTCCTGCACGCCCCCTACTGGGGACCGAGCCGCAATCCC